TCACCTTCCTCCTGTTATTGCAGTTATCTGTGTGCTTGTCTTATCTCCCACACCGGAGTGTGAGCTCCTCGGGGGAGGAGCCCGCAGCACAGGGTTCCTCTTTGAATCCCCCTGGCACGGACCGACTCCGGCGCCCGCCTGCAGTCAGCTCTCCAGCAGGTTCAAGTGAGCTCAGGAGCGCTCCGATCACACTTTTCCTAATCAGAAATTGGTTAGGCGTTTTTCTGAACTGATGGCCGCAGCGATGGTATCTGCCTCCCTGTAACAGGAAGTTTACAGGGGGCGGAGCCCAGGGTGCGGTGGAGTGATAATCTGCCCAGCCTGCTCTTCCCTGATCTCCCGACTGTGGCTTCCAAACCAGATTTTTACTCCCAACACCGGCAACTTCCCGTAAATCTGCACTGAAATTTTATCCTCGAGTTGTTACAGCTTCTGAGCACTTTGTTTGCTGGTGACCCTGAGCCCTGGCTTCATTGTGGTGTTATCTGATCCCTTTGGAAGGGCTCTCATGATAAATTCTTTGCAGACATTGATCCTGGGAAGAAGTGCGGCCCTCTTGAAAAACTGGTATTATTTTCTCTTTTTCACAAAGAGTATAAGTATTATTAGATAACTGTCATGACTCCCTTTTAATCTGGACTAATAAGTAGCTCACAGCAAAATTTAGTTCTCAGTTACAGTCACTATGTCAATGTAGAAATTTTATAGGATCGCTCCTTCCTCTACCTGATTATAAGACATTTCCTATTTCTTTAATCATGTCCTGCATGAGTATATGATTTTTATTCTCCACCAATTACTATCTCTTTTGGAAGTTGCCAGGGTTTATATTATACATAAACAAAAGTAGTGATAAATAATAGCTTCTGTTCAGTGAATGCTTCCTTGATGCCAGCTGCTTTTATGCCTTATCTCATTCATTTCTTGCAATAACCCCATGAGATATTGTCAGTATTGTAGGAGTGACGAAACAGTCTTAGAGAGGTTAAGTGACTTGCCCAAGTTCACACAGATAGCAGATGGAAACTAAACTCAGTTCTACCTGATGCCAAGGGCTGGATTCCTAACCACTTTTATTTTACAGTGTCACATAGACAGATCATCCAACTCAGGTAATATGTCCTGTCTTAACCTAGCTTTTGTTTCCATCAATTCAAATTTTCTGTGATCTATTTATAAGAAAATTGGAAATACTTGTGAGCCCAAACCTATGTTTTTTTAAACTGGTATAAATGGTCCCTTAGAAAAATGGAAGGTTTTATGTTATGGCTTCTGGTTTAGGTCTTTTTCACTTCCATTTTCTTTTTAAAATGTAGGAATAATATATTTACAGAGAAGTGCACAACTTTTAAAGTATACAACCTGATGAATTTCTACACACACACACACACTATTTACTTATTGTGATGTTGAATGACATTTGGGTTGTTTTGAATTTTTGGCTCTTATTTAAAAAGTTTCTGGCATTCTTGTCTAATGGTAGATATCCCTACTTCTCTTTGGCTGGTATAGTGTATCTGTTTTCAATTTCTTGAATTCACTAAGCATCATTTAGCATGTTAGATGTCACAGCTTGGGTTTTGGTAGGTCATGGAAGTTCCTAGCACATAAATATATTAATTTCTAGTCTTATAATACACGTAGACAAATGGGTTCAATTTCTGTGTTATGGAAAAATTATTTGCAGACAATGAAAAGTAACTAAATAAATAGATAAAAAGAAAAAAATTGCAATAAAACATAGCATTAGTCTTCATAGCACTACAGTTTGTATAGGTGTTTTTGTTTGCAAAACTTGGCTTATTAGTCAGAACTCTTCCCTTTCATTAACAAATGACAGAAACTGAACTCAAACTAACTTAAGTAACAAAAGAGAATGTAAAGACTCAGGTATCCAGTAGTTGGCTGCGTTCAGGTATGGCTGGATTTGGGCACTTCAATGATGTCATCGGCATCTGGTCCTTCTTTCTGTCTGTCTCTGGGCTCTGTTCTCCTCTCCATTGGCACTGGTCTTAGGCAAACCTTCTCCACCGGTGACAACTGGCAGTTTCAGGCTTCTAACTTCCTAACTCCAAGTTCAGCAGAAAGAGAGAGCTTCTCTCTTTCCTACACTTCTGACAAAACTCCCAGAATTGAGTCTCACTGGCTCTGACTGGGTTGTATGTCCTGACCCAATCACTGTAGCCAGGAAGAAAGCAATTCTGATGCCCACACGTGGCCCACAGGGACTAAGAGCAGGGGAAAGGTGTTACTAAAAAAAAAAGTGTTACCACACAAGAGAGAAATAGACACTGATGAGGGACAAAATAAAGAAAAACAGACTTCCATTATGTTGAGAAATTGGCATTGAGTTGGCAAATGAACATTCTGAGACTATAGGTGATGGCAGAAAAGTTAATATTGTCTTTACCTCTGATTACTGGGATTATGTTGTTTACATAGAGATAAACTTGTGAAAATTGGCTGAGCTTCAAAAATGTTCCACTTCCTTCTTCCTTCAGAGATATCACCATTTATCTAATTATGCTGACTTGAAACTGTGGAGATAGGTTGGTCTTTTATTTTCCTTAATTCTCACCATTCCAGTATTGGATCAGCCAGCAAATCCTACGGATTTTTCCTTCAAATTTTCTTTTTTCTTTTTTTTTTTTTGTCTGTTGGCTGGCATATTAATCTGTTTCTGTTGCTTATAACAAAATACCTGGAGTTGTGTAACTTGTAAGAAAACAAAATATATTGCTTACAGTTTCTGAGGCCGGTAAGTGCAGAGTCCAGGGAACATATCTGGTGAAGGCCTTGGTGGTGGTGACAGTGACCTAGGAGTCTCACATGGCAGAAAATAGTGTAGCAAAAAGAGAGAGGCTCTCACGTGCTCTCCTTTTAAAGCCCTCAGAACCACACCCTGACCATCATTATTAATCCATTCACTAGGGCATGATCGTACAATCTAATCACCTTTTCAAGGCCCCACTTTCAATTACCATACTAGGATTTCTCTTAACATTGTCACAGTGGGGATCAAGTTTTGAGAGGACACTCAATCCAAGGCAGCCAGTACAGTGACTGAACCTTTGACCTTGCTGCTGTCAGCACCATGCTCTCACCAAGCTAACCAGCCAGCCCTAAATTTTCTTCTCTACTTGTTATTTTCTTCCCTATTCCCACTGACACTACACGAGAAGCTCCAGGATTACCTTCTATCCCCTTAGTAACCCTAAGGAAATAAGAGCACCTCTTTCCCAGTAAGTCTAGTCCAGGTCCTGGAGGGACTGACTTGGCTTATGTGCCCATTCCTGAGCCAATCCCTGTGGCCAGGGGGATGGTGGACACTGATTGGCCAGGCCTGGGTCATGTGACTGTCTTGGAGCCGGGCAGGAATGTAATCAGCCCTCCCTGTCTCACCTGGACCAAGAGTGGGGGAGGGGAAGATGCCCAGAGGAAAATCAGGGCATCGATGCCAGAAAAAGTGGTAATGAGTAATAGGTAAGTAAAAACAACACTCAGCTCACTTAGAAAATAAAACCCCATCACTTATGATTTGAAAGTATGCTGTGTCTGTAGATTAGAGCTCATGGAACCCATAAAACTGTATTTTCAAACTGGAAGTGGTCATAGCAATTCTCTCCTTACCCAAGTCCCCTAGTTTCCTTTAACAGTTCTTCTTTTGTGTACACATACTAATTTATGCTGTGAATCCTAGAACCACAAGTACCATCAAAATGCTCAGAAAGCCCTTGTTCCTTCCAATCCTTCATTCATTGCTCCCTGTATTAGTCCATTTCTGTTGCTTATAGCAGCATACCTGAAACTGGGTAATTGAAAAGGAAATTGGTAATTGGTAAAGAAATGAAATTTATTTCTTACAATTTGGAGGCTGGGAAGTCCAAGATCTGGGGAACACATCTGGTGAGGGCCTTATTCTGCAGCAGCTCAGTGTATCACATGGCAAGAAAGGGCTGAGCAAGACAGCCTACCTCCTCACTCGCCCCCCTTTTGAAGCCATCAGAACCATGCTCATTACTCTATGAATGGATCAGTCCATTCATGAGGGCACAGTCCTCACAATCTAATCACCTCTTAAAGGCCCCACTGTTCAAATACCATAGTTGGATTTTCCACCCTCTTAACACTGTTACAATGGGAGTCAAGTTTCCAATACACGAACTTCTGGGGGACACATTTAGTCCATCACACCTCTCCCCCATACTGAGGGAATGTACTGTTCAAGGTATAAGATAGGCTATATATGAAAGACTCCAAAAAACAATGTTTTAAACAAGATAAAAGTTTATTTCTCCTTACATACTAGTCTGGGCTTATATGATGACTCTGTTCTGTGAAGTCACCAGCAACCCAGGCTACTTCCATCTGTTGTGCTATGGTGGGTGCATGGCTCATTATTTCCACATTCCAGCCCACAGGAAGTAAGAAGATAGCAAAAGGAAGGGACAACCCCTTTCCTTTAACAGCACAACCTGGAAGTGTCTATATCATTTCTGCTCACATACCATTGACCACTCTTGTGTCCATGTCTAGGTGCAAGGAAGGCTGAGAAACATAGTCTTTATTCTGGGCAGCTGTGTATCCAACCATGAAAGAAAGGACAACAGATACTGGAAGAGAACCAGCCATCTCTACAGGGAAGAAAAGAAAAAAAATCTGACTTTTTCCTTCCTTTTTATCTTTCAGGTTATAAAAAGGTCCCTGAGTAACTGCAAATGCAGAAACGTTTTAACGCTTCAGGATAAAGAGTCTGTACCAACATGTCTGCCTACTACAGGAATAATGGGTATGAGGGAGATCCAGATTACCCTGACTATTCAGGGTCTTGGAACAATATGCAGGGGTATTCAAAAACTCAGAATTATCCAGATTTTCCAGGTCCTCTGAACAAGCCAGACTACCCCCACACCAGGAACAATCCATACTCTGCAGGATCCAGAACAAGTTCAGACTATTCCAGTTCTCTAGCAGAACCAGACTATCCTGGATCTCCAAGTAATCCAGACTATCCTAGCACCAGGAGCTATCCATATTCCGCAGCCTCCAGAACAAGTCCAGACTACAGCAGATCTCTGCCAGAGCCAGATTATATTGAATTTCAGAGCAATCCACACCACTCAGGATCATCCAGAGAGCCAGGATACCATGGATTTCCAGAAAATCCTGATTTTACAAGTTCCAGAAGAAATAGAAACTTTGCAGTATTCAGAAAAAATTCAGATTATTTTGGCTCCTTGGGAGAACCAGACTACACTGGAGCTCAGAGCAACCCTAACCATCTCGTCCCCAGAGCCAGTTCTAACCATCCAGGCTCCAGAAAGGATCTAGAGTATGCTGGTTCCAGAATCAATTTATACACAGACTCTTGGGGAAAGCCTGATTATCCAGGTGCTGAGAATCAACCTAACTCTTCATATTTTGAGGGGGAACCAGACTATCCTAATGCTGAGAACTATCAGAACCCTCCGAAGTTTTGGGGGAAACCTGCTTACAGAGATGCTGAAGATCGTCATGATTATGGCTCATCTGAGACCCTGGAAATGACCAGGGGGTAAGTTCAGGTATATCCTTTCTTTGGGGGTGGGGGTTGAGTGCTAGATCATCAAGTCAATGGATCCTGCCTGGTTGGCGTGGTTTAGATTAGGGACACATACGTTTCTATGACCTGAAGTTGTGGTGAAAGTCTCATATCTACCTGTAGACCTCACCTAGGCCATAGACTCATCCTGAGGCTTCAAGCCCTTACCTAGACTTAATCTTTCATCATTTCTTTCTTGGATTACCTCTCTGCTCTCCAACCTCTTCCTCATCCAATCCCTATAAGACATCTAGATCTCCAGCGTTTTGACTACATTGCCAATCAGGGTTAAGACTTGATAGTCATGAATCCAAACATCTTAACCAGAATTACAGTAATGAATTTTTATCACAAAAATCTTTTGAAGATCTAACTCTATAAAGTCAATTTAACTCCTCATTAGTTTTTTTACAAAAGATGTTTGGGCCACTCTGAATTTTTTTCACTTTTATTTTTATTTTACTGAAATCATTTTTGTCAGAATTGATTACTTTTCATTTGAACTTTACTGCAGATTTGATTCATTGATCTTCTCCATTGTTATTTTCATCAAATTTGATTGATTATAGTTTTCACCATTGTCACTATTCCCTTAAGGCCATTTTTAAACATTGAGTCCAATTTTTCTTGGTTCAGATTCTATAGATCTAAGTTTTGTCTAAAAGATTTTAATCTTCTGTCAATTTTTGGTCACTGACAAATTTTACCAGGTGTGGTTGTGGATATTAACAGCATTAGTTTGGGTAACTTAGTTCTACCAAATTTAATTTTTCCTGAGGTAGTATTTTCAGTGCTCATGTTGCCAACAAGATGTGATTTTTTACTCAGTTTTTTGCTTAATCTGTAACATATTTTACCATGTGAATTTTTAACCAATATGAGTCTTATTTTGCATTTATTATTTCTACTTATAATATTTATGAATTTGATAAAAACTGATATCTTGTATTTATCTCTAGGAACAAGGATATAGGATTTGGGTGTGAAGCAGTCAAAATCTTTTTAGAAACTAAATAGTAGGGGCAACAGGACCAGGTCAAAATGTCCTCCTTGGTCTTATCTCCCATTGCTTTTTTTTTTTTTTTTCTTTTTGTCTTTTTTC